GCTTGGAGAAGATGGTAAATGGAAGCAATAAGTTTTTTTGGCTCTAAGTACCATCAAATGTGATGGGAGACCTTCATTTATATATTGAATGTGGAAGATAACTGTTACTTACATTAATTGTTTGGAGCTTACACAAAATTTCAGATAAAAATAGCTATTGCAAACATTATGAGCACGAATGGATCGATCTCTTTATGGGCAAGATATATTGGGTTAGTTAGAATTCAAACAATTTCATGTGTGAAAAGTCACAACCAATCAATCCATAGTTTATACCAATCAATATCTTTTTTAGGTGATTGATCCTTTTTCAAAATCTTGAGTAAAATTTTCATTCTGTGTAAAAAACCAATTGATCCCTTCATAAGTGGATTAATCCTATCTTTAAAAACCTTGAACCAATCGATCCATATAAGGAAAGGATCGATTGGTTTTCATGAAACTTACACAAAACTTCTTTTTGGCCAAAAATTTTGTTGATCCCCTTGAGGGGGGATTAATCACTTCTATGCTACTTTACCCATTTTTGTTTTCAAATTATGCCAGATGAATTGAACATATTTTTAACTAGATAAAAAGCTGAAAAAGTATTCAAATTAAGTTCAAATCATTTTAATTCAATTTTAGAAAATTTTTGTTTTGTCTTTTCAAAATGTTTTATCAATTCAAGGTTAACAATCTCCCTTTTTTTTATATGACAAAACCAATAGTTATAGTTTGCTTTGAAAATATTTTTTTTTTAAAAAATAAGCTCCCCCTGAATTTAAGCAAGATTAACAAAATTAAAGGGCCATTTTCTCATCATAGACATAACAAATATAAAATGTAGAAGTTTCCATTTTTCATTAAGCAAATCATGATATCAAGAGCATTCATAGGACATGGATATAAGCAACATAACAATTTAGTTTAGCAAATTTTCACAATACACATACATAAACTTTTCTCCTTTTTTATCATAGCTAAAAGTATTAAAAACAAGGTAACAATATTATAACCAATTTAAGATCAACTTGCTCAATCAATTCAAGGCAACAATATTATAATCAACTCAAGGCTAATATTATTGAAACTCAATACTATAGCCCACCATAACATCATCATACCAAGAATGAAAATAACCACAATAGCACCTCTTTAGCAATACAATCAATTACAATAAACTTTGAATCTCAAAACCACACAAGCAAGCAAAGAAAAGTTCATGCCATTATATGCAAAGTACCAAAATTGATGCTACAATATACTATCTTAAAGAAAATTAAAAACTTAAAAATATAAAAGAAACATGTAGGAAAAATATTTAAGCTTGGCTTACAGGATAGGTCAAGGTGGAAGAGGATAAGGAGGAAAAGGATAAAAATGCTGCTTTATTTACTTTTGTGCAGTCTAGGTTTGTCTAATGTCAGTCCTAACTTATTTAACTTGTAAAGCCATCTCATTTTGTGTTAATTCTATGTTTTCCAATCTAAAGTTCATATCCCATACCAATGAGTGTAAATTGTTTATTCGAGTCATAAGAATTTACAAAACTCTTTGAGTATCAAATGATGTACTAGAAAGACTTTCTTAGCAAATATTTTATGAAACTTCTTATATAATATCTTGAACCTTATGTTTTTCTTCATGCTCAATTTCAAGTTCACTTTTTTTAATTTATACCCTAATAACATTTTGAGTGTATCCTATATTATGAAGTATATGAACTCCAATAATACTAGTAGGATCGGACACAATCTCTCTATCACTTTTAGTATTGATACCCACCCTTCTAAGTAGATTGCTAATAGCTATCTTATATAACAAAGTGTAGTCTTTGTTTTGAACAACCATCATCCAATCATTAAAAATAAAGTGCACAAGATTGGGTTTCTTCTCTTGTTTGATCTTATCCATCCACCAATAACCTTGTTTCCTAATGGTGGAGTATTGGGTTACAAATAGTGCTAACATATGTGTGACGATAAGATGAATCAATCTATCATGCATGTTCAACCTAAAAGCCTAAGTTGGAGCAACCTTCAAATTATCATTGTAAAAAATACCTAAGGCCAATCCAAGCATATTACACTTAGTGTTTGTGTCTCCCATTATCTTCTAACATGAAAGCTTCAGTCAACAAGTTCTTATCCACAATTATTTTTTTACTCATCATAAATGTCCTAAATTTATCAGTATCGGTTATTAATACACTCTAATTATGTTTAGCTCAACCAAAAGGTTGAAAGTTGATTTACATTACTACTAACCTAAAACAATGAACATGTAAAGTAAAGGAAATTAAATAACATCAAATGAACATGAAAGTAAAACTAAAAAACCATGTAATCTAATGCATGAAGTATTCAAAAATAGAATGTAAAGCATAAATGAAGTGCATGAACGATAAAAGAAATGCAAAACTCAAAACCTAGAGTTAATGTAACAAAAGCAAAACATGGAATTTAAATGGATCCAATTCTAATGCAAGGTATTTCAGTGCAGTTGAACTTAAAAACAATAATCAAACTAAATCTAAATGCATCAAATTAAAATTGCATGAATTAAATGCAAGAAAATGTAAAAGTGCTTAAATCGAAATCTAAATCTACATGCTAAAATTTAAATTTTCATAAATTAAAACTTAGATCTACAAGGTTGAAAGCAATTGAACTTAAATTGATTTATAAGAACTTAGTCAACATGTGAACTGTAAATACAGGAAAAAAAACTAGCTAAAATAATGAAATAACAAGCTCAATAAACTTCAAACAAAAGTAAGTGCATGAAATAGAAATAACATAACAATAAGAATTAAAATCAACCAAACAATATTAAAAAACATCAATTAAATTGCAAGTAATTGAAAATTAACAAATAAACAAGTAAATGAACAAATAAAAATAAAAGAAAGAGTGGACCGATCGCCTAAAAAAAAGAAAAGATATTACAAGTGATGTCATCACCTGCTATATTTCATTATCATTGTGATGTCACATTGGAAATAAAAAACCAATATTGACCCTTTCTTATAACTATATATATATAGGTATTAATGTTAAGTTTTCATCTTAGATTGGAAGGATATATCACAAAACATGAAGAAGACTTCTATTTTATGGAATTATTAAGAGTGTTTGTACTTTTATCGATCACTTATGGGAAAAGAGAACTAGATTCAAAAGTAAGTGGAGTCCTCCTAGAGAATTTTAATTAACAGGGAGATTTTATTAATTTTTAACAGGCATCAATAATCACTTTATCATTTCCTTTAGAAAAATCAATTTCGATTAATGTCATTTTTGATAAAATATCAATCCAACAACGATACTATGAGTATTTTGCCTCATTTATTGTGAATAATATTTTGTAATTATAGGGTGTAATTACTAGTTATCGTCTACATATAATAATTATTTTTAAAAAAAGTTATAATTTGAGAATAAGGGAATGGATTATATTTATTAGATTTAAATATAAAATTTATTGAATATGATTTTTTAAAAGTAGCAACATAAATCAATTAAATTAAATTTTAAATTCGATATAAAATAATTATTCATCATTTAAAGAAAATGAGTGATTATATATACATACGCGTAAATGTATGTATTTATATAAATACACATCCATGACATCGTCCGAAATTATCTTTAATTTTCGATACGCATCCAATGAAAAAATTGTTCAACAAGTATTTTTGAGATTGAAATAAGCAAATAGTCATAATGGCATGTCACTAATAAAGGCCATATCAATTCAAAGAAAAATAAATCAATATGGTGGATGTGGCTCATCAAGAATTAAAGGAGCTAGGGAGAAATGTATTGGCAGGGTTGTTATAAGTCCTGTCAAGATCATACTTTTATGTCCAAAATTACATCACCAAGGCCTTTGTTAAATTATCCTTCATTCCATAATTGAATATTACCAGCTGCTAAAGTCATTCGCATCACTATATTTTGGGATAACTTTACGCCCAAACGATGCTCAACAAAATAGGGTTTCTAACAGACAACAACCAGCTCTATTAGAAAACGACATGATCTGTATAGTTGAAAAAAAAAGATTGACAAGCTTCTTGCTCACGAATATTAGAGCTGGAAATATATTGAGACAAAAACACTACTATAAGTGAAACATCTTAAGACAATAAAATGAAAAAGTGAGTTTTGGTATTAAATGATGATACCCGAACTATTCGTGAGTATTACAATGAAAAATGTTAACTAGAGCCACTAGGCATTGGTTAGATGATATTTAATATATATATATATATATATGTATATATATAATTACTGTGTTTCACATCTTGAAAATAGTACACTAAATCCAAAAATTTTTTCTTAAATAATATTTTAACTATTTTTTAATCAGTACATATAGGCACTCATTACCCGAATTTTACAATAATTACAAAATATTCATTTCCTTTGAGAGGGGGAGAAAAAAAAAAAAAACAGTACTTCACGCAATAAATTAACTATGCATAAGCAAAATTGAAAAGCTTTGATTCTCCAAGAGCATTAATGTTTCAAGCTCATCAGTATAGAGACATGCATCTCTAGGATTTTTCCATTTTTGAGATGCAAAAACTCAATGAAATACAGAAGGAGATTAATGCCAGCCTAGCCAGCTAGCAGACTTACTTGCCATGCTTTATATGCATATATGAATTAATGGTCATACTGAGAAAAAAGAAAATGGTGCACAGTTACAGAAGTGAATCATGCAAATGGTGCACATCTACAGAATAAAATCATGCAAATTAATTACGTATGAAAAGAGTATGATTTCAGGCCAAAAACCAAAAAAAAAAAAGAGATGATTTTAAATGCTAATTAAACATTCCTGATTTCCATTGAAAGGGGTTTTACAGCAACACTTTTTGCGTAAAGCCTCCACTATAGCACACATAATCAATATGCCTTTTTGAATTCTATCTAAGTTTTCTTAAATATGTTGTGTCAATTAATGCAGAGGGGAACATCTATCAAAGCTTGTAATTAGTTTTTTTTTTCTTTTTTTTTTTTTTTGTATAATGTGTTCATGTAATGTAAGTGATGATTTTTTTACAAAGACATATATGTGACTGTGAATGGTCGAGACACAAACGTTACGATGAGCTTCCGACGGATAAGAAGTCGATGAACGAAGCCCCACCCTTGCTCTGCTGTGCCATAGCTTCCTGATCTACCTCCTCATCATCTCTCCTGGCGTTGTTGTCTGTCACTTCACTTTTATTGGAGTCTGTATTTACTTGAAGGAAATCATAGAATTCAATTGGCTGATTTTTGTCTGCAAATGATACATAGAATGTTGATTATGGAAAATGACGATTAATTATTTGCTAGAAGAAATAAAAAACCACATCAAATCTCGGGTTTATGCAGATTGGTAATTACAGTACTATTATTACGATTACGCACCTTCAGTGATTGTAACACAATGGCTTGGATTCTGAGCGTAAAACTGTTTCAAGACGTGAGTGTGAGGGAATCCTTGCTTGTATTTCTCGAAAAGTGGAGCACAACTATTAGTTATCTGAGAGTGGACAGCATGATCTAATGGTTTTGAGGAAGGTTTTTGGTCATTGTGAATGGTTGTAGCAGTGTTAGAGAGAGCAAGTACAGATCTTTTGTCGTAGAGCCTGGATCGTTCTCTGCATCTACGAGCCATGATGACATGCCAATGGTTCTTTACAGCGTTATCAGTGCGACCAGGGAAAAGCCGGGCAATAACAGCCCATCTATTCCCATGGATCCTGTGAGAAGCTAAAAGCCGTTCTTCTTCCTCTTCCGTGAAAGGGCTTCTATTGATTCTCGGATCCAACTGGTTGAACCATCTCAGCCTACAACTTTTTCCTGATTTCATCAAATATGCATATGCCACCCTTGGTTAATTACTATGTAGCAACAAAGCATGTGGGATTTTTGGATTAACATGAAATTGAAACCCTAGCTAGACAAGTAGTAGATTTTGTTAATTAACAATATTTACTAATACCTTATAAGATACAACAGAAGTCAAGAGGCCAGTAATTAAGAAATGAAATACTAGTGTACTCCATGATTTAGGGGGTTTCACCTGATCTCCCTTGAAGCTTTTCGGCTATGGCGTTCCAATTATGGGGGCCATAGCGTTCCACCAACTCCCGCAGCCTCTCATCTTCAGCAGGTCTCCAGTGGCCTCTGGTGCACATCTGATCTCTGCTGATGAATATTACAACAAGAAGCAAACTATAAATTAAGAAAGATCCAACCAAACCCTAGCCCTAACTATTAATTACGTTTGTTTGTGTATATCCAAGAGTGGAGCTGGAAGAGTCTCCAAAAATGAACCCGTTGATGATCTTTCACCTAATAAAGTAATAATAGAAGGTAGCTGTAAGAAAAAGAAACATAGAAATCAAAAAGAAAAAGAAAGGGTATTGAGATGAGATTGAGGAAGAAAAGAAAGAAGAAAGAGATGGTTGCGGGTGGGCAAACAAGACAAGAAGAGAAAGTAGATGGAAAGGGAGGAGATATAGGGAATGAAGTAAGGAGATAGATGGTAAGGGAAAGTGTTTTCCGTTAGAGAGTTGGAGGGGTTTGGAGAGAGCAGTAGGCAGTAGCAGCGATTGACGCAACGTCGTCTAGGCTAACAAACGCTTATAAGTAATCAATCAACTTTACACACAAAGAAAGAGAGAGGTTGCTTGGTGGGGTGAATTTCGTTCCCCTTTCAACGTCTTTACAAGTTTCTAACCTACAACCTCTACTTATAACCCACCTATAGCTACCAATTACCATTACATCTCTCCCATATACATACCCATTTTTTTATACCCATTTTTTTTCTTTTCTTTTCTCTTCATTTCCCCATTATTAGTTAATGATTTACTAAGATATATTTAAAAACAATATTCTAACTTCATCCTCTCATTATTATTAAAAACAATATTAAGATTAAATACTAATGCTAAACCTTAAGTTTAATTTAATTAATATATGCAATCACCCCTAAAAAATGATATCTAGAAGTTAACATTTCAAATTATATCATTTGCAATCTTTTTTTTTATTTTTAGACTGTAATCTTTTTTATAATAATAATAATAATAATAATAATAATAACACGATCAAATTCCAAATAAAACTTAGAAAGATTAATTAAGAAATATATTGATCAAGTACAATTTTGAAATAGGAAAAATTACAGAATCCAGACTTTTAATAGAAAGATACATGCAAACTTTATATTGAGTCAAATGTTCGGATATATCTAAAATATGATTTAAATTAACTTTCTTGTTATTGCAAAGTTTGATTGTTTTGGGTTAAGCATATATGTGATAGCATGAAGCAATAGAAAGAAAAGGGGTGGGCATGGTTTTTGTTGGATATTTATATATTACGTGATGGGTATGTAATGCAATGCAAGTATTTGGGGGATTTTAGGTTTTTGATAACCTTTCAGACCTAACTAACACTAACAGCTTAATTAACTTAAATTGGGATGAGAGGACACTTTGGTATATATGGGCTTCCTCTATGACGAATTAATTAACTACTTAAAACCGCTTTTTCAGTCAAACGCCTGCTTTGTCCCCCTTTCCTTATTGCTGTGAAAAAGGCTGAAATTCCAAAAGCAAAACTTCTTCATTCCTATCTTATCCACCACACTTTAATGAAACCTCCTTATAAACCTTATGCAGAAATATCATTAAAGTTTATTTTTTATGCACTGTTAATTTATAGATTTTATACATTATCAGTGAATTCAATGATAATATCTCATTAATAAATAAGCTTTTTTAAAATATTAATTTTTTTATATATTTATTTTAAAAAATAATATTTATTCATTAATGATGTTATATCATTTGATTCACTAATTATATATAAAATCTATAAATTGATAGTGCTTTGAGTATAAACTCATAATATTAACAGTAATTTAACTAGCCAAAAAGTAAAAATATAGCTAGAAACTATATGAACTGATGATAGATTATTGAATGTTTATTCTGGATTCAAATTTTGATAACTTTAAGTAAAAAATAAAAAAATAGAAATAATTATAATAACACAAAGTATAGAGACAAGGTATTTAATGTGGGTCATGACTTCCCCTTTTTTTAAAAAAAGAAAAGTTAAATAAATCAAGTTGGAGGAGAGTTTAAGAAGGATCGTTTTTAAATTTCCTTAATCAATTTGCTATTTTATCAAACAAGAAAATTCAGGTAGTTTCTTCTTCTCTTCCTACCGAGTCCCCTCCAAATGCCAAACTCGATTTATTATAAAATTCAGAATCATTCTTTGATGTTAATTCTGAATTCAAGTGTTACTTTTTCTTCTTTTTTTGATAAACCCAAAATAAAATTATTTAGTAACCAAAAATTAACTTTCAGTGATGTCATATTGATATACAAATTTGTATTAAGTAAAATCATATATTTATATAAGAAAAAAACTTCTATGTTAAATTCAAATTTTAAAACTTTTAAAAATAGAGTATATTATTTCGTCTATTCGATAAAAATTAATGCAATGATAATAAGATATTTTTCATGCCTATAATATAATCATTCATGAATTTTATGAATTAAATTGGGTTGAGTTTTTATATTGATATCCTTTTACAAAAGAAAAAGGTAAAAGATGAAGTTAGATACAAGTGTAAATAATGTTTTTAATAAATAAAAATTAAAAATTAAAAGATTAATCTTCATTATAGTATATAAAATATATTATTTTTTATAAGTATGCCACATTTTACTTTTTAATTAAGAGAATATCTTCATTAGATATATACTCATATTTATAATATATATATATATATATTTATACATGAAGACTTTCAAGATTTTGTTTTTCTAAAGTTACATGTTATTTCTCGGCCAAAAAATGGTTGCATATTATTCATTGTGATTATAAAAATGAATGAAAATTTATTACTTTGACCCCTCCCCTTAGATTTTATTGGATTTTCTTCGTGGTCAAATAATAAAATTACAAAAAAATATTATTTTTTTATACTTGAAGCTAGTAAAAATTAAACCTTTATCACTCGAATTAAAATTCACGCTCTACTAATAGATCATACAGTTGTTAATAAGTAAATAATATAATAAAAAAGATAAAAGGTTAATATAACATACCTCTATGATTTAAGTTTTCTAGAATTGAGTAGTATCAATTTACCCTACAAGTTTATATATGGCTACACCTTTGAAGAAATTACAAAACACCAAGAAGAAAAAAAAAATTATATGCCACCACTTCAAAGAGAATTAGCAAACAAAAAAAAAAATCAATCTAAGAATTACACTTTTTGTTATTCTTGCTTAATGACTCCAAGCAAAATTCTGAAAAGAACCGGAAGTCAATGAAACTCTATAGTAGCAATTATACTAATTATGTAATAGTGGGGTGATTTTTATTAAAACAAATTAGCTTTCCTTTTACTCATCTTGGCGACGAGAGGGGCATGTAGGGATTATGTCTTACAATTATACCAATTGATAATTGCCTCATTTTATTATTATCAATCAGATTAATTAAGTCGAAAATATTCAAATATTTTACTCGTAAGATTTAGGTTTGAATTCCAATAGCAACAGTTTTTTTTTTTTTGGTGGGCAACCAATAAATCTACTATAAATCTTATATGAGACTTATAATTTACCTTTGTCTTAGACAGAGGAAGCCGACCCCTCACCCTAAACTTTTTTTTTTACTAAAAAAACTAATTTTTATACAATAGTTGAATAATTCAATTACTTATAACAATATATAGATCTAATAGAAGTAATAAATAATGAAACCATAAATATTTATTTTTGCATGTAAATATAAAGTTAAGACATTAATCATAAATGGATTATTATTTCATACATTGTTGGAGTTCTTAAATTTTACAATTGAAGCCTAACAAATTGTCATGTATTTTTCTATTACATTTAAAAAGATATGTGTTAATCGTTTAATTTTGAATAAATTTTTATATTTATTGACGATATATGAAGTAATTTTTTGTAAGAAATTATCGGACATTTTAGCATTTTAATTTCTTTGTATTACCCGACGATATGCGAAGAGAAAAAAATAACAATATAAAAGAAATTAAAATTTCAAGTTTAGAGGCAATTAAAGTACTCACTTTGCCTGAAATAAAATAGGATTGATATTGTATCGTATTCTAGTCTATTTAAATAATTGGGTCGTGGTTTGACTGCTGGCCTAACATTTTCCAAGTTAAAGAAATTGCTTGTTTAAAAAGAGAGGGAAAGGGCATCTCCCCGTCTTTGGTCTTTCAACCACCATTTGTGTTGAGAAACTGGTAGCTGTCATTGGTATGCATTTTTCATCAAACCTTTGACCTTATTTAAAGACTTATACTAACACAAAAACTCATTATCTCATTCAAATTTCTAGATTTGTTCAATGGATTCATAAAACTATTTTAAATGTGTTATTCACCAGGTTCAAGATTCAATCCCTTATTTATTCCAAGACAAGGCTTCCTTCCTTTTAATAATAAAAAAAAAAAAAATCCTCATCTTAAATCCAAATTAACTTGACTTCAGCGGCTAGTCTAGAGAGAGCCCTCCATTCTGTTAATCACATAGACCGTTCACCTATTTTACCTACTTGCCTTCACAACAGATCATATGTTGTTGCGGCCGCACTACTACTGCTCTCTCCTAAGTCCTAACGACTAACCAGATTCATCCATATATTTTATTCATCCTTACACCAAAAACAAGCTTGATTTTTTTTTTCTCAATATTTCGTCTTCCTTTGATTGATTTTTTTTTTTTTGCACTTTATTTCTTGGAAAAATGCTACGAAGTAAAAAATAATAATTAAAATTAATCAAATTAAGTCATAATCGATTAAAAATGAAACAATAATTAAAATATTATATCAATTAACACCACGTAAATAATTAGTTCATATATATATACATTAGTATTTTGTTATCTTAAGTGAAAATGTTCATGCCATCCAAGATCATATCAAATTTAGTTCGCACCTTTAAAATTACGACCGTCCAAATCTGCTTAATTAGACCCAGTGAATATTTTTATTTTAATAATTCAAAATATATTTTAACATTAAAATTAAATCAAATTTAAATTTTATTAATAAATTAATGTCATGATTGTTGATTTTGCTCATTTAAATGCGTTTTTTTTTTTAAGTGCTCTTTTTTTTGGCTTAACCAAATAAAGTTGGTTTCCCAATCAAATTTGAGCTCACTAGCTTTGATCTCTCATTTGATATTTTAATTTAATATCTAAATTATAAATATGTTAACTAATGTGTTATTAAGAAAGTTATTTGCCTACCACATGTCATCATTTAAAACTAAACACATTATAGGTAAGTATCAAATTAGTTACAGATTAATAATTCAAATCTCAAATTAAAAAATTTTAAAGTTCAAATATCATATTAAATATTTTAGTAAAATTTAAAGATCATTCATGACATTAATCCCTTTTTTTTACTATGTCAAGATATATTTTAAAGATTACATATCCTTTTTTTTATCAAATTATGATAATAATCCTTGTACTTTAGTAAAATTTGAAATTTAGTCACTTTATTTTAATTCATAAAAATGTAGTATTTATA